GTAATAATATTTCCCTGGCATTACAGTCATTATTAGTCATTATTATTATCATCACCTTGTAGAGAAGCAATCAATTTTAAGTTTTGAACTTTGTTTCTTTCCTCAGAATTCAAAGGCAGAGATTCAGTTTCTTTTTCGGAATAACCTCGTTAAGACTTTTTGTTTACAGGGAATTTATTAGTACAAATCGATTCATTGTGATACATACAGCCACATTTATTGCATTTAGTTTTATTTCTACACTTTTTTTATGTATGAAATTTTTTAAAACAAGAATAGTAGCGGTTTTCAGATCTTAGTTTCTTTAATTTATCAGAAATGTTCACTTCATATTTAAATGACTCATGCAAATTATCCCAAAAGATGCATTTTAGGTTAACTGCAGTATGATATGCAGCTGTTGGTGTATTTTTTACATATTTTCTAGTTTCATATTTTGATCGACTTGTGGAGGGACAGGATTTTTGCATTCATTTAATACTAGATTTGAAACTTCCCTGCATTCTACTTCCTTTTTAAGAAATTGTGTTAATTCCGAAACTTCAACTTTATCTTTCGATTCTCTTTGCCGATTAAATTCCAAAACTAATCTCCGGAATTATTATAATATTGATTAATAAGTCATATGAGCAGAAGTACTCTAAAGTTTCCATACGAATCTGTCAGTAGTGATTAAGAGCTGCCGACAGGAGGCGCTGCTAGCGCGTTATACTCTCGACCTACGTAATTTGAATTGAGTATTCTTTTCTTTTGTGTACTTGCTGTAACAGATCTTACAGCTTTGTGATTGAGAATTTAAAATGTTTTGGAGCCAGATCGTTCCTCTACAGCAACAAAATGATTAATAAATATATAATAAAGTAAATATCTTTGTGATGATAATCTTTGTTATTAAATACAAAGTCAACCAGCTCCTGAGTACAGTTCAAGTGGTCCGTCGAGAATCGAAGGTGAGCTCTCCCATTTTAATCTCTATTAAATTTGAAGAGTATAACTGTTATAAATATGGAAGCTCTAAAAACTAGAAAAAGAGTGTTAAAAAGTTCACTGACGAGGCATAAAGATAAAGTTGTTTCGTCATTAGATGTTTCAGATTCAGTTGCGTTGCAGCTATTTGAAACCAAAACTAATGAAATTTCTAACGAACTTAAATCTGTATTTTATTCAATTTTCGAAACATGTAAACCCGAAGAATTGGATAACTTTATTAAGGATAAAAAGAAGATACAGATGATATTGTTGATGAGTTGCTATTGATGATTAAACGTAAATTAGCAGTAGTAAAAAATAAGATGAATTCTGAACATTCTGTTTCTCCTGTGCCGAGTAATAATAATTCAAATGTGTTTTCGGATGTTAAGTTACCGACGCTATCGGTACCGACATTCAATGGTAAAATAGAGAATTGGATAATGTTTAAAGATATGTTTAAAGCTAGTGTAATAGAAAACAAATCTATTTCGAGTAATGCAATGAGATTGCAATATTTAAAAGCTAGTTGTAAGGACGAAGCTCTGAGAGTAATACAGTCTATTTCTATTTCGGATACAAATTTCGATATAGCTTGGAAAACTTTTAGAAGATAGGTATTCGAATAAACGTGAGCTTTTAAATGCTATAATAAAAAAGCTTTTGAATCAGCCGAGTATTAGCGAGACATCTAGTTCTATTCTAAATTTAATTGATGTAACGAACGAATGTATTCGAACTTTAAATATTTTTTTAAACTACAAAGTAGAAAACTTATCGGAAATAATGATTGTATATTTGATAGTGGATAAGTTTGATAAATCGACTCGATACTGGTGGGAAAAGGAATTAAAACACTCGGAAGAATTTGGTACGATTGAACAATTACTTTCGTTTTTACAAAGCCAAGCGAGAACGCTTCAAAATAGTAAAATAAAGGAGGTAAAAAAGAGTAATAATTCTCCACATAAAAAACTTACGAGTATGATATCCACTTCTAATACAAAAACATAAATTTGAAATGCATAAAGTGCCATGGTGAAGAATTCCATTCATTATATAAGTGTCCGGAATTTATAACATCTTTCTGTCAATGACAGGTGTGAATTCGTGAAAAGAAATAAGCTTTGTTTTAATTGTTTGAAAAACCATTCCGTTCGAACGTGTTCGTCTAATTATCGATGTCAAAAATGTTCACGAAAGCATTCAACGCTATTACATTTCGAAAATGAAAAACAAAATAAATCCGAAAGTGCTCATATTTCAAAGCCGGAAGTAGGGGGGGAGAAGACGACAGTCAGTCTCAATCCGAATGCTGAAAAATTTGTTTATGACTCTTCTTCTACCAATAAAGAAAGTATTTTCGCCGGCACAGCTGTAAACGGAATGCGTCAGACCAAAAATGTTTTACTTTCTACTGCGAATATTTTAATAAGAGATTGCTACGGTGAATTAAAATCAGTTCGCGCTTTGTGTGATGTAGGTTCGATGACGTCATTCTTAACGATTGAATGTGCTAATTCGTTAGGGATTAAAAGAGAAAAAATATCTGTTGCGGTTTCTGGATTAAATAACACGAGAATAAATATTAATTCTAAAGTATGTGCTTCTATTTCAAACGGTATTTGACTTTGAAATGAGTTTAGAATTTTTGTGCGTGCCTAAAATCTCGGACTCCATACCAATAAATAATATAGAAGTTCCGACTGAACATTTTCCTCAAAACATTAAGTTTGCTGATCCAAACTTTTATAAAAGAGGAAAAATTGATGCATTATTAGGCGCAGAGGTGTTTTATCAGATCTTAAAATTCGGTCAAGTTGAAGTGCCCAATTCAGAGCTAAGATTTCAAAATTCTGTTTTTGGCTTTATAGCCACTGGCAGCATTTTAGGTTCAGAGACTGAAAATACGCGAGCAGTTCACTGTGGATTAATTAATAATTATAGTGATATAGAAAATGAAATTAAAAAATTTTGGCAACTTGAGTCTATAGGAATTAAAGATGATCCCAGTGAAAATGAGATAGATCAATCTTTAGAAACATTTGAAAAAACTGTTCGTTTTAAAGATAACCGGTATGAGGTTCAATTACCGTGGAAAAGAGATTGGGGAGAGCTCAATAATAACTTCATCGTTGCTAAAAACAGACTTAATTTACTTATGCGTAGACTTCAAAAAGATCCAAATCTTCATTTGCAGTATATTGAAACTTTAAAAGACTATGAAAATAAGAATATTATAGAGAAAGTTAGATGTCCTAAAGAACCTGTTGATAAACCTGTGTTCTATTTGCCACATCAACCAGTTTTTAGAGAGGAAAGTGCAACTACAAAAATGAGAATAGTATTTGATGCAAGTTCCAGTCATAACTTTAAGCATTTAAGTCTAAATGATTGCCTGTGGTCAGGGCCAAACCTGAATTCGAACATATTCGACATTCTTGTTAATTTCAGATTAAACAAAGTCGCCTTTACTTCAGACATAGAGAAAGCTTTCCTACAAATTTTATTAGCCGAAAAGGACAGAGATGCAGTTCGTTTTCTGTGGGAAGAAAATGGTAAAATTCAAGTTTACAGATTTAATCGTGTTCTTTTTGGTGTTACGAGCAGTCCATTCCTTTTGACTGCTACTTTGAAAACTCACCTGAGAAAGCACTCTGAAGAATTCCCGACTACAACAGAATGCTTAGACCGCTGTTTGTATGTGGATGATTTTATTTCTGGAGCTGATAATGTGTCGGATGCTTTTGAGATCTCTACTCAAGCTACATCAATTATGAGCCAAGCTAGCATGGTGCTACGAAAATGGACTACGAATGACAATACATTGATGCAGTTTTGGACACGTGAAGGTTTCGATACACAGCCACAAGTCAACACTATTAAAGTTTTGGGACTGTCATGGAATCCTGCTGAAGATTGTCTAATATTGGGAAAGCAGAGCCTAGTGGACAGTCTGTCTAAAAACGAAAGTACCAAACGATTCCTACTACGTACAATTGGAAGGATTTTTGATCCGCTTGGGTTGCTTTCGCCGTTTACTATTCGTGCAAAGTTCATTCTGCAAGTCTTGTGGATGAAGAAAATTTCTTGGGATGAAGAAATACCTGTAGATCTACAAAAAATATGGCTTCAGTGGTGCTCCGAAGTTCTTGATCTTTCAGAGTTACGAGTTCCTAGAAACGTGCTCAATTTAAATATACAAGAGTCAACCGATATCTTAGAACTACACTGCTTCTGCGACGCTAGCCAAAAGGCTTATGGTGCTGCTATTTATGCAAGAGTTGTGAAGGATAATAACATCGAAGTGAATTTATTGGTTAGCAAGAGTCGAGTGACACAACTAAGGAAAATCACTCTTCCGAGACTAGAATTACTCGGTGCTTTGCTTGCCGCCCGACTAGCAAGTAAAGTCAAGAAAACAGTGGATTTAAAAAGCCCTCCTTAGCGTTCTTTTGGACGGATTCAAAAATAACTCTCTATTGGATTAAAGGATTTACGAAACGATGGAAATCATTTGTTGCCAATAGAAGTTAACGAAATACAGAGTTTAAGTGATACCAGTGCCTGGGCACACTGCCCTGGGAAGCAAAATCCAGCTGATCTCCTCAGCAGGGGAGTCAGTGCTGACATTTTATTGAACAGTGACATTTGGTGGCATGGACCCCAATTTTTGAGAGAAAAGACTGATGTTCCGGTAGACAATAATGACATTCTAATTTCATTAGATGACTTTTCTGATGAACTAAAGAAAACTGATGACTCTAATGATCATTCTCCTATTGCCTTTACTGTTTTAAATCATAGTTGATGATATTCTTTCCTTGAGTAATAATTATTTAACTATTGTTCATGTTATGTGCTATGTATTTAGATTTATCAATAATGTTAGAAATGAAAAGCTTACAGGTCACCTTACATTTAGCGAGTTGAGAAGAGCGGAAATCTATTTATTTAGGTCAATCCAACAAGGTGAGTTTGTAGATGAAATTAAACATCTTGAGAGAGGTGCCTCAGTGCCCAGCAACAGCAAGGTAAAATCTTTTTAAACTGTTTTTTAGATAAAGACAATGTTCTAAGGGTTGGAGGCAGACTGAAACATTCTGACCTCAGTACATATGAGAAAAAATCCAATTGTTCTGCCAGATAAGCATCCATTAACTTTAATAATTGTGAGATATTATCATTTTTAAAGTATTTGCATGTTGGTTCAAATGCATTATTGTATCATGTTCGACGTAAATTTGGGTCTTAAATGGCAGAAATGTTTGTCGTAAAGTTGTTTTTCAATGTATAACTTGTTTTAAAAACAAACCTGTTTTTGAGACTCAAGATAATGGGTGATCTGCCCAAAGAACGAGTAACACCTTCTTACCCATTTAGTAATGTTGGAACTGATTTTTGTGGACCATTCCACATTAAATTTAAAAATCAGCGTAAGGGTAAACTAAACAAAGTTTATGTGTGCATATTTGTATGCTTAAGCACCAAAGCCATCCATTTAGATTTTGTCTCTGATCTTACTTCAGATGCCTTTATAGCTTGTTTGAAAAGATTTTTTAGTCGCAGGGGTAAATGTGCGAAAATTATTCAGTGACAATGCAAAGAATTATGTGGGTGCAAGCATTGAGCTCAGAAAATTGCATAAATTGGTTTAAACACCCAGATGAAACACTGACTAAATACCTGCTAAGTGAAAACATTGAGTGGAGGTTTATCCCTCCTAAATCACCAAACTTCGGCGGCCTTTGGGAAGCCGGGGTGTGAAATCTTTTAAGTTTCACTTGAAACGAATTATTGGCAATGCTCATCTTGTTTCTTGAAGAATTTCTCACTGTAATTCTAGAAATTGAAAGCGTATTAAATTCCAGACCTCTTACTCCCTTATCATCCGAGTTTGATAATTTTTGAAACCTTGTCCCCCGGGCATTTTTCTCATAGGGAGGCCTTTAACTTCAATAGCTGAACCCCAACTTATTGAGATACCAGAAAATAGGCTCTCAAAGTGGCAAAAAATAACGAAATATAGTCAACAAATTTGGAAGTTATGGAAGAGAGACTATTTAAATACCCTTCAACAACGTAGTAAATGGATGTTTTGCTAAAGATAATGTTAAGGTGGGTTCACTTGTGTTAGTCAAGGATGAGCATATGCCCAGTACAAAATGGTTAACAGGTAGAATTGCAGAAATAATTTTGGGAAAGATAAAAAAGTTCGAGTGATTAACATAGTATTACCAGGTGGTAAAATGTTAAAAAGAAATGTGAGAGACATTTGTGTTCTTCCTGTGAATTGTAATTAGATTTATGTATTGTATATTGTAATGTGTTTCTTTCCAGTGTTTATATTGCATTATGATTTAATGTGTCTTTTAAAATTTAACCATTGTATTGCTATTGCTTACAATTGTTTTTATGTGCTTTAAAACAGTGTATACTAATTGTAATATTTTGAAACCCGTAAGGTTTCAAGGTCGGGAGTATGTTTCAGTAGTGATAGAGTGCCGACAGGAGGCGTGCTAGCGCGTTATTCTCGACCTACGTAATTTGAATTGAGTATTCTTTTTGGTGTTGCTGTAACAGATCTTACAGCTTGTGATTGAGAATTTAAATATTTTGGAGCCAGATCGTTCCTCTACAGCAACAAAATGATTAATAAATACATAAAAAGTAAATATCTTTTTGTGATAATAATCTTTGTTATAAATACAAAGTAACCAGCTCCTGAGTACAGTTCAGAACAACTTTAATTGTCAGATAATTTACGTAAGCCTTTACGTTAGCAGAATTTTAACGGCTTCTAAATTAAGAATTTTATCATGCCTGAATTAATGATCAGTCGTTTCGACCTATTGTCCTTGTATGCACACACATCTAATACTTTATGTTAACTAAAGCCTGACACAACATTGAAGCTGCCCGTTAGATGTTTAAGTATACAAATTTTGTATTTTGAAGAGTTTTGTTTTATGTACGAATTTCAAACTATCCAAATTCATTCCATGTTTGGGGTCTCCCAAAAGTTATCAATCATTATTTGGTAATTTCAGCGTACTACCCACTAGAACTGGAACTTACATGCAAAATTCCTTTACACTATATGTTAATCAAACTTTGGGGATCCTCGCTGGCGTATGCGGTACGGCACCTAGAAACGCTTATTTGATCTAGCATATACATTTGTTTGTATCTTGCTTATATACATCTTCTTAATAAGTTACCATCAATTAAATCTTGTATTCTATCAAGCGTTCTCAAATTTTTTTCTTTCGATACAATTCAACATTCTCGTATTCTTAATCGAATTGTCTCTCCTTCAATTTTTAATTTATCTTCATCACTTTAATTAACCTAGTAACGACGATTCATGTGGAACGTTTACGTTTCAATCTATACTTCTCTTCTTGTATTAATTTAAATAACCCATGACAGCAATATAAATACCTACGAAGTACTACAAATAATCAATATAATTAATTAAATTCCCTACTTTTATTTGGAATCCTTGTCACTGAATATGATCTCCATTGAATCGAAACCTTGGATCGAACTAAATCTTCACAGCCTATTCCGTACGTCGATGCACCATCTAATATTTTGTGCATCTCCAAATCATATGGTGGTCAGTGGGTTACTAATTTTAACACTTTCATTTTGAAATATTTTAATTACTATATACGAGCGTTCTTAGGCCGCCGCTTCACAGAACAAACTTTATTCTCTCACAACTAAGCGAGCAACAGCGCCCTCTAGCCTTTTTCTTCGAATTACACAACAGAGGGACATCATCGATAATAATTGGAGGAACTCTGATTTTTCTACTGTTCGAGGGCTCAGGGGCCGTCGGATTATATGTACCCTCACTTTCATTATCCATTTTTTCCTTATTATTGTCTATGTTAATTTCACTCATTTCAGTTTCAAGTCCACTGTATCTGTTTGCGGTTTTAATGGCAGGTTCAAGTTGTTCATTGTCAGAGTTAGTAGAAGCCGAAGAACGGCGCCTATGTCTTTTACGTTGCTCCTTAAATGGTTCTCCATGTAAGGCGTTCATTAAGTGATCGACTTTTTGTTCCAATTCTTTAATTTTTTGGTCACGATATTCAATTTCAGTAATTGCTTGGTTTTCTTCTAATACACGTGTTTTGTTTAAGATGCATATTAGAAAGTGTTGCAGTCTATGTGAAGCATGATAAGTAATTGTTTCACTAGTTAATATGTCTTGGGCTAGTGCAGAGAGTCTAGCGCATTCCTCAACAGTGGAGAGGATGTGTAATTGTTTTTCCAGGTACGTGATAAACTGGTCAGTTTCCGCTTCATTTTGGAAAAGCTTTTTTCTTTCCTCCGGATAAGCAATGATCTTTGAAATTGGTGAGCTAGGTGGTGAATGTGACATTTTATATCTATTCTTTTCTGGGCTGATATCTGGTGGAATTGCAGCAGAATCCTTCAAATGATCTGTCATTGTGTATCATGTAATACTCAAAAAGAGTATCGACCGCAGGAACAGGAGAAAAAAAAAAAAACTAAAAAAAAATAAAAACTAAGAGCCACTTTGCCCGCATCGCGCCGAGTGTGCAATAGGTGGAATGTCCGATGAATACAACCAGCGCCTCTGTCAAGCGCCGACATGCAAGCTTGGAGGGTACTCTGGCTGCAGAAGACCACAATTCTAAGTTTTTTCTTGTTAATCACAAGAAATTATTTGCACAGAGTAATTCCGTGCAATAAGCATATATGGCACAATTGCTTCGTCGACACCAAAGCTGCCACGTGTTAGTCCTAGTAACTCCACGAGACGAGCGAGGGGACAGAGCACCTTCACGCTCAGAAGTCAGGCGACGAAAAAAAGATGAAATGACAAGTTCAGTGACTGTTGGAAGAAGCCCAATCCTAAATATCATTTGCTGCATGCAGAACTCCTATCAAAGTAAAACCTGTGGTGGGAAGACCAATAAGTGGATGTCCAAGAGTGGAGTCCAACCATTCAGACGACTGCATTCTTTGTAAGCATTTAATGCTGAATGGCAATCGCTTGTTTCTGACCTTGAAACATTAACAAGAGTATCTCTACCAAGTGGTGACAGATGGTTACATTAAATTCAACTATGTGGAGAAGATGGCCAACAATTTGCATTTCATTAGCACTTTCACAAAGGAGCTGCTGGAGTCAGTCTCAAAATCACTTCATCTGGACTGCACAAAAACAGGGTACTATTCTCTTTACAGATTGGTTCGATCATGGTTTGATCTCCAGATTGATTCCTGATGGTTATCAGTATGCTGAATGTCCGGAACTCACAATTAAACATGTAACTTGCACAAAAAGCAATCATTTGATGGTCGAAGCAGGGACTGCTGTATCAGTCATATTGATTTCTCACATCCTTGATCAATACTTTGTTCATTTCTCATAGCCATGGATCTTGATGTTGTTTTTATGAATGA